CGCCGTTTTGATCGAACTTTGCTATAGGTTATCGAGGGCCCTGAATCCGAATCCGAAGCCCATTTTTTTGGCCGAGATTTCATTGGTCAGAAATCGGTCAATCAGAAATGAGCTTTTTCATTTTAAAACTTTTGGTCGTTTTGAGTGAACTTTGCTATAGGTTATCGATGGCCCTGAATCCGAATCCGAAGCCATTTCTTTGGCCGAAGTTTCATTGGTCGGAAACCGGTCAATCAAAAAAGGAACTTTTTTATTTTACGGCTTTTGGCCGTTTTGATCGAACTTTGTTAGAGGTTATCGAGGGTGAGAAATCCGAATCTGGAATCAGGATTCCAAAATTCAGATCTCGAATCTATTCGTTCTATGAGAAGTGATGTTGAGAAACAGCAAGTACTTTGTAATACGTGACAGTAGTGTAATGAATCAAGAAATACGAAGATAAGATGAAATTAGAGTGCTTGTAGAACAAAGATTGAGGAATGAGAGCGAGTTACGCAAAAAATTATTTAGATTGACAGGATACAACGGCTGTGTCCACTTATTCAGAATATTTCAGATTATCGGTAAATCTATACTAACGTGTCCTCTTCCTGAATACTGATAAGCTTCCAAAGAAAATTTCTAATGTGGATGAATTTTTTTGTAAAGGATCAAACTTTCCATCAGTTTTTAAAATAGGAACGATGGCTCGATTTTGAAAATGGTATCAACCTTTCGTGAGTGAAAGTAGCTGGAAGTAGCGGATAGCCGTGAATGGCGTTCCTTCGGAAGGACGGCGAACGAATAGCTGCCTCTAAACTAGGTTTATTCAAATCTGTTTTACGACATTTCTGCATAACATCAAGCAAGGTCCTTAAAAAAAGTGCCACAGAGACTTAACATGTGACATTTTATGTAGAGAAGGACTCCTATAAACATGGAGAAACTCGAGAGACGACACGTATATATTTAATAGATATCTTGCTGGATATAGGAAATCTAGTACCCTTTAGTTACGAGTAGAGAAGCTTTTGAAGCAGTCGAAATGTGGATTAGTCATGCCTTGAATAAGAAAGTAGTCATTTGAGAATATGTGTTCAAAGATAGTAGTAGCTAAGTGTGAATAGCGCCACGTCGGAACTCCGACAGTGAAATATAGTAGCTTCTATTTCTATTTCACAATTTTTTTGGTATGAGATATGGTCTATTAAGCTAGTTTTTTGTGTGAAATCTTATACTTAAGCTTCTTTCGATGGCGAGCTCCATGAAATCTTTGATTGACTAGCTAGGTAAAGGATTGAAACGCATAAGGAATAGTTCACAAGTATTTTCACTTTGGGATTTCTCATGCGATAAATATAGGCAGCTTTGAAACTAATCCAAATCTAGAATCCAGTAAAATTTAAATAACAGTGCACGATTATATAATTACTGGAAGAGAACGATGCATAACAGCAATTAGTTGCGCGTGACGACCCACTCGGATGCTGACGAGTGACTAGCTGCTGCCCTAAAAAATCCTTTGAATAGAATTCTTTTAAATTTCTAATCCATTGGAAGGATCTCTAGCACTTAGATCTTACTAGGATTCATGGGAGGAAGAACTGGCAAGAGGGTTAACAAGTGTATTTGAATGAAGTGTGAGAACGAGTGTGTTGGAGATCTTCAATATCGGAATCGAACATTTCCTGAAAAGCGTCAATAATACAATTTGCATCGAATCATCAAAAGTGGACTTGAATGGAATTTAATAATCCTTTATCTTCATAGATACGTCATCTGCCCATTGACTTGTCAAATTTTTTTTGCGGCTATTTAAAATTCGTTATTTAATCTCACAAAGACTCAGAGTTGAAGCCTGATTCAACTTGCGTATGCCGGATATTAGTTTGAACAAATATAGCTTTTTAGTCTGATAGCTACGCTAAACATGCATTTTCGTAGTGGGTACCGGTCAGCGATATTGCCCGCCTATGTGTTTATGAGTATGCGCATTATTAATACAGTTTGCGTGAAGTGTAGTGCATCTTTACTGCAGTCACGCTGATATTTTTTGTCTGCTGATTTTCTCTGAAAATCGAATATACTATTTTTTCGTGGTTTGAGGATATTGCTGTGTCAGTGTGGGTCACGTAGATTTCTTTTGAGTGTTATTGATAGAGTAACAGATTAAATGAACGAATGTTATAGCTAGCAGTATTACAACGATACCAATAGCATTATACACGCCGACACATGTGTACACTAATGTTGACACTAGCACAAAGCCATGTGCAAATGCCCGATGCTACCTTTTGCAAAATGTCTGCAGTAATAAACAACTGCCGATGCAGTGAAATATTCAGTCGAGGGTTAAGCGAGTCACACAGACGAGCGTTACTTGTTATTATTATGATATTATATACAATCTTAATGATATACTATATTAAAAATAAGGTAGATTAATTCATTTTATATTTAAAATTACTTTTTTCTTCTCTTGTTTTAGATGAGCTACGATACAATACAACATTGAGAGGTAGAAAAAAAATTTTTACATGTTGAGTTGAGATAATTTATTTCGAGAAAAAATAAATACTGTCAGTTATTATGAGTATGAATATGAGTACTTTTGAGATGAGATGAGTTGAGTTTTCAATGTTATCACTGTGGGTCAGATAGCTACGTTGTCTGACTCAATAGAGTGAGAGGAACTTTCATGTCATAGGGAAGCAGTGTAGTACTAGGCAAGGCCTCTATCTGTCGTTGGTCCCTACCGTTCATACGGCATACCTTCGGCCATTACCCTACCAGTCCGGTGTGGTCCGCTCTGTGGTACCTATGGCATTGACAAGGGATCTTTCCCTTGTCGCGCGCGCGTAAGCCAAAATTAGCAGAAAACAACCAGAGAAAAAAAATTGAATAGCAATTTAAATCAGTTTATTGAGTAATGAAGACAAAAAAATAAATTACATTTTCTTTCGAATTTTTTCAAATGTTTCTTTATATTCCGAAAGATGAGGATGAGTTGAAGATAATGTTTCTTGAGCTATTTCTATCGCTTGTTGAACATTTTTCATTGCCATATTATATTGTCGAGTAGATAAATATAATTTTCCCATATTATGATAAATTACAGCTAAATCAGGATGACTTTTTGGTAGTTTATTCTGACGTATTTCTAATCCTTTTTGAAAATATGACAGTGCTGTTGGATAATCTTTCATTTCACGATAAGTTTCACCTAAATTTATATATGTCGTTGCACATTCCAGAGGATTACATTGAACATCTGCTTGAATATTTAATGCTTTTCTATGAAATGAAAGTGCCTTTTCATAATTACCCATTAATCTATGAACATCACCAATATCACTATATGTAGTAGCTCGATCTGGATGATTGTCAGATAAGGTTGTTTCACGTATTGAGAGACATTTTTCGAAATTCTCAAGTGCTTTAGGGTAATCTTTCATACTGCGATAAATCTTTCCGAACCATTTATATGGAAAAGCCAAATTGGGATGATTCGCAGGCAGAACTTGCTTTTTGATTTCTAAGCTCTTTTTAGAATATTCAAGTGCTTTCGAATAGTCACCCATGTTGTTATACGCCGCGCCGATGTTGTTGTAGGAAGTAGCCAATAAGGGATGATTCGGAGGCAGAGCTTTTTCGCAGATTTTAAGTGCTTTTCCGTAAAATTCAAGTCCTTTCGAGTAGTCACCCATATCGTTATACATTTTACCGATGTTGTTGTATAAAGTAGCCAAATTGGGATGATTCGGAGGCAGAGCTTTTTCGAGGATTTGATGTGATTTTTCGTAAAATTCAAGTGCTTTCGAGTAGTCACCCATGTAATTATACACTTGA